ACCAACAAAATAAACATGCTAAACAGCTGAAATTGTGAAAATACAACATACCAACATAAGTCAGTTTTCTTAGGTCATTGGTGTTTAGAGTAAACAATCGGTTCACCATTAACTTGATGTAGTTGAGTAGCTTCTTTTCTTCATCATTCGAAAAGATCGTGAAAATTGGTCCCAGTTTTTCTTCCAATTTATATTCTGCAGGAATTTCATTGGAATCTTCTGCTTCGATCTTGATTACTTTGCGTTCTAAGGTTGTCTGAGGCACCCCAAACGACTCTGCTGCTCTTTTATATTCCATATATGCGATGCCCCAGCTTGCCCCATTAGGCTACAGAAATGTTTCAATACTGTGGCAACAAATGCGTAACTAATGATGGCTGCCGCTTTGTTTGTTAGTCTTGCCCGTCTCCTTCAAGCTAGTTACGAACGTAGCCAACAGAGTACAGCACCTGACTGGGAAAAAAAGGCCCACCCCGTCTAACCCCCTTCTCTGTTTTGCTCCACCTTCCCCTACATGAGACATTTCGATACTTTAAATAAACCACCCAATGAATAACGAAGATGATGGTCACCTGGATTTACACTGCAATAATAAGACCTATGTTAACGTAGGGAGCCATTGCATGGGGGCCAAAAGTTCTACAAGCAACGGCCATCCAAAAATTATATCAAATATAGCGATTGGCTTGTTTAAAAATCACAGGAGCCATGAGAAATACACCAACGGAATTATTACGGGGTCTGACCCCTCTGGACCTGTATGTTGAGGAGGTTGAGTTAATGGCCATGGTACGATTGCGCACGGCTGGTGTAAACCTCGAAGTAGAATGGGTCAATTGAGGCTGGGCCTATGGCGGGAAGCGCAACATCTGCTGCAGGCAACCAGTGATGCAAGTGAACCTAGGTTTGTGTTTAATAAACCCTACAAAATACAAATAAAACAGAATACAGAGTCAGATGCTACAAAAGCAATATGCACATATACAGACGGCTCAAAAACCAAAGAAGGCTCAGGATGTGGAGTGTACTCCAGATCACTAAGCCTAAGGATTAAGGGGGGAATGGCTGGTATCTCAATCGCCACAAAAAAAATAACCAGGAAAGGAATTTCTGGCAAAAACATAACAATCTGCACTGACAGCAGACAAGTCCTATTAACCTTGAACAGACAACGTGTAACCTCAGCCATGAGAACAACACCATTAATTACGGGGTCTGACCCCTCTGGACCTGTATGTTGAGGAGGTTGAGTTAATGGCCATGGTACGATTGCGCACGNCTCACGGATTTTCGACAGGCACTGACACTTATTGGCTTCAGCCTAGAAGAGATGTTAGTAACATTATAAGTAAAGAGAGACCCACAGAAGACTTTGCACCAGATACGGAGGTGTATGTTTTTTCACCATTTTTATCATCTTTCTCTTCAAAAGAGCAACTCAAAAACCAATATCAAGTTCCCAAAGAAGACTTCTGGAAATGGAGGGTAGAACCAAAACCAAAATTCGCAAGACGACACTGGAAATAGAAAAGGAATTGACAAGAAGAGTGATTATTTTCCAGTATGGAATTATTAGCCATGGAAGCAAAAAATCCATAAACTTTTTTCTTGGAAGGGCCATCAAGGGACCTGAAAACATGTCTTGAAAAAAGATGAGAGGAACGTATTTGAAGAATGAATGAAGAATGATGGAAATTCAGAAGATTGGACGGTTGTTTCTGATAACGTATATCCAAGACGAAGCATCTTTCATAATCTGACTAACGTTTCAAAAATAATAAAAAATTTGAAGCTCACTATTCATCTTCCTCATTTATATCGCAACGTTGCCGCTGTTTATGTTTAATATTATGATAATTAGATTTTTTTGTGGAATTTTCGGAAGCTTCTGTCATTTTTGCAGTTTGTATTTTTTAAATTAAAATCGTTGTGAGAGCTACCAGAATTGCCTCCGCGAGCTACCGGTAGGTCGCGATCGACAGGTTGGCGACCACTGGTTTAAACTATTCAAATAAATCTGTAACCACTTCAAACGTTCCCTGATGAAATGAAACAACAAAAATGTAAAATAAATATCATCAAAATAGAAGTTGAGGACTTCCGATGGAAATACTTTGTTAATTCTATTGTATTGTCTATATCAGTCCTGTCAAAGATACGGCATGCGGGCAGCATCCGGCCCCTGGGCCGTATCACCACGGCCCGCGATCGCAATGTGTCACAGAAAAAAAGATCATGTATTTTGGACCTCCACTCGATTCCTCTACGAAAGTTTTAAAATGCGCAAACTACATTTATAAGTAATTAATATTTCTAAGATATTTGATCGTATTTGCTGGCCAAACTTCGATGCTATGGCTTGTCGGATCATTTCTGTGTGTGGCTCTTCAGCTCCCTGAAAGAAGGTTCCCTGCAAGTGGTCATCGATGGATATCTCTCGAATACTTTCACCAGCAACGCTGGTGTTCCCCAGGGATCCATATTGTCTCCAACCCTCTTTTTATTGTATATCAACGACTTATTTGAAAAAAACACGAATCCAATAAATTGCTTTGCTGAAGACAGCATACTTGTCTCGTCATTCCATTTGGAGTCCAGAACATCGGCTGTGGATGCACATCTTCACCGGCAGCTGGAGGTTGCACATCTTAGTGAAGATCTAAAAAAGATTTTGAATTGGGGTGGAAGTAACCAGATTCAATGCAATGCCACAAAAACCCAGATCAGAAGATTGCACTTTCTGCTTCGAAAAGTTTGTTGAGGGTTAAAATGGACACCAATATGTCTTGGCACAATCATGTTGCTGGAATTGCAAAGACTGCTTCTCAAAAGCTTGGAACACTATTCCAAACCAGAAAACTGTACACACCTCAACAACTTTTGATGCTTTATAAAGCTCAGATCAGACCTTCTTTGGAGTACTGTTCTTATGTATGGAGCCAAACTTACTCTGAAGTTGCTGGATTCCATTCGGAAAAGAGCCTGATTGGAGACGCGAACATCACGTGCAACCTTGATAGCCTGGAACATCGAAGAAAGGTTGGAGATTTGTCTCTCTTCTATAAATACTTTCACGGGAAGTGTTCAAGTAATTTGGCACATTTGACTCCACCCAGAGCGGTACATATCAGAAATACGCGACGAACTGTGGCTGCTCATAGTTTTGAGGTTCAACTCAGTACACCTCGAACTTCACTGTTTAAGAACTCTTTCATCTGGAGAACTGCGTTTATATGGAATGAACTTTCTGAGAAAGTTTTTTCAAATGGATTTATTTTCCAGCGATTCAAATCCAATGTGAATCGCTACTTTTGCTCAGGCACCCCAGTTTTTTGTTGAGAATGACAATGTCTAGTGGGTTGATTGTGCCTTTCTGGTGGATATTAATAAACACTTGACTCATCTGAATATAAAGTTACGGAGTGAATGTATTCATGTATTCAAGTCTTTAAAAAAAAGTTAAGGCCGTGGAAAAATCAGCTAAAAAATCAAACTTTGGATCATTTCCCTCATTTAAATTCAATTGGCACAGTGAACAAAAAAAAATTGGACTAATATTCTCAACTTCTGCAAAATCTGATCAAGGACGAGTGTCGTTAATGACATCTTCTCAACCTTCTGCGAAAAGCTGGTATCACTTGTGATCGTTTTTCTGACTCAAAATACAATCATTGTATCCATTTTTTACATAAAATTTTACATAAGTTCGTTGATCAATTTTTTCAGTAGCAGAAAATTCCCGAATACGCAAGACACTTTCAATTTTTATTCCTTCCACCAACAAAATAAACATGCTAAACAGCTGAAATTTACTGCGCAACCTCTGCTGCAGGCAACCAGTGATGCAAGTGAACCCAGGTTTGTGTTTAATAAACCCTACAAAACACAAATAAAACAGAACACAGAATCAGATGCTACAAATGCAACATATACAGACGGATCAAAAACCAAAGAAGGCTCAGGATGTGGAGTGTACTCCAGATCACTAAGCCTAAGGATTAAGTGGGGAATGGCTGGTATCTCAATCGCCACAAAAGAAATAACCAGGAAAGGAATTTCTGGCAAAAACATAACAATCTGCACTGACGGCAGACAAGCCCTGTTAACCTTGAACAGACAACGTGTAACCTCAGGGCTAGTACTAGAGTGTCACCAAGATTTAGCCAAAGCCTTGGTAGATAATAACATTATCCTGAGGTAGATTAAAGAGCACGACGGGAGTGAATGTAATCGCATTGATGACGCTTTAGCCAAGGAAGCGACTGGACTAATAATTTTAGGACCCAGTGGCACCTACGGCCTGATGACTTCGACAATTGCGGAATGAGCCAAATGTTACACCCATACTCAATCCCTAAAGAGATGGGATTGAATCAAAGGATGCAATTTTGCCAGGATCACTCTGGGTGATGGAATTAATTACGGGTCTGACCCCTCTGGACCTGTACGGTAAGAAGGTTAATGGCCATGGTACCATTGCGCACGGCTGGTGTATACCTCGAAGTAGGATGGGTCAATTGAGGCTGGGCCTATGGCGGGAAGCGCTTACTGCGCAACCTCTGCTGCAGGCAACCAGTGATGCAAGTGAACCCAGGTTTGTGTTTAATAAACCCTACAAAACACAAATAAAACAGAACACAGAGTCAGATGCTACAAATGCAACATGCACATATACAGACGGCTCAAAAACCAAAGAAGGCTCAGGATGTGGAGTGTACTCCAGATCACTAAGCCTAAGGATTTGGTGGGGAATGGCTGGTATCTTAATCGCCACAAAAGAAATAACCAGGAAAGGAATTTCTGGCAAAAACATAACAATCTGCACTGACAGCAGACAAGCCCTGTTAACTTTGAACAGACAACGTGTAACCTCAGGGCTAGTAGTAGAGTGTCACCAAGATTTAGCCAAAGCCTTGGTAGATAATAACATTATCCTGAGGTAGATTAAAGAGCACGACGGGAGTGAATGTAATCGCATTTATACAGATACAGAACGCAGATGATGATGTGAACATTTTTATTCAACTACCGGGAAACAAAGTAACTCATTCTCAATTTTCAGTTGACATCAAACCTACTCCTAAAACTAATAATGAAACTAGTGATGGAACATTATTGATACTCTTTTTTTATCAAATCCGACACTACTTCTCCAACCATTACCACTGCGGCAGTGGGGTGACCAGCCAATGAAAAAGGAAAGACGCTTGCGTCCGCAATCCTCAATTTCTTCATTCCATGAACCTTGCAATGCGAGTCTACGACATCACCTCTTTCCGGATTATTTCCCATGGGACATGTCGATGCTGGATGGTAAATATTCATGGTCACTTGTCTTATAGCACAGTACCAATAAGGTTTGCTCAAGTATTCGAATTCTTTGCAAGCTTTCAACTGTCTACCTCCGAGTTTAGCACCAATCTTCTGGAAAGCTTGTGTTTTGGAAAGATTCATCAAGATCTGAACTCCTTCATAAATAGTTTCGATGTCCTTGCCTTTGGGGTCGGATAAAAAGTTGACATCCACTATTGGGTATTCATATGGATCCGAACTATTCAATCTCACAGTTCCAGTAGATTCTGCATGGAGTGAAATAACGTAAGTTATATAACTTTGGGATGTGTTCATGGGCTTCCACAGATCCTCATAAGTTTGATCAGTTAGTGAGAAAGTCCGTTGTGATAAGTCGCTTATAGCCACAGCTGGTACCATTCCAATTTCTATATCCGGATACCCAGTACCTGAAAAGCAGAACAACATATATAATATGAAGCATCTAAATTGTATCAACTGTAAAACCACTGTAAAAATGTATCAACTGATTTAAACTATTTTCTATTGTTTAGTGATGAATGGTTTACTGAGTTGTTGTTGAAGTAGGTGTATATGCAACAATACATCTTTATGTATGATAGGAAAGGTACTTCGAATTTTCAATTTGTTTCTACTCTACTGAAATGTTTTCTGCCTATTTTCTTTATGACCCAGTTATCTTAGTCAACATTAGGTTAGTATCTCGGAATTTGAGATACCCAACTATAAACTGGTATGAACTTGTATTTTGACATCCTTAAATTTGTCTCGAAACCTACAGATGGTTGTGAGTACGCGACTATTAAAATCTAAGGTCAAAGGCTACAAAAATTGATTTTTGCACATTTTTTGCAAATATTTTGTTTCCTATGAATTTTTCACTATTTTTATCGATTATCAATATTGTAGAAGATTAAATTCCCTACAACTTTTGTTTCATGAAATTATTTACACGTTGAATTGTTTTCGAGATAGAGGATGGAAGACGCGCGGTTAGAGCATCATTTAAGGTCAACCGGTAGTCCCGGTCAAAAACATGCCATATGAAGTTTATTCATTATTGATAAATACATAAATATGTATTCGCCAAAGTTCTGCATAACACAAGCTGCAAACTGTTGAATATCAATTTCCATAAAGGGTGAAACAACAAACTGCGCTACTAAAGCCATTTCATTGAAATCCTTAAAACGA